CATATTTTTAGTCTTTCCTTATAATGATTTCTCTACATTAGTATTATAATAAATTTACTATTATTAATTGCTTTAGTTTAATAGTCGGATTTTGTTGCTTGTGTTGAGCTGATCGACATGTGTAAGTATTTCGTTAGTTTCGATAACGGTCGAAGTCGCCTATACGAAGAAAAAATATTGACTTTATCTAAAGTTTAAAAGTAAGTATTATAATGTTTGACAGGATATTAGTATTACAGTGACCAGTAACCACGTACAGGACTAAATATTTCTTCAAGTTAATATTTTTTCCCCGCTCATTTTGCAGCTCCGTGTATTGTAACTGCTAGGCCCATCGGATCACCGCGCTTATTTTGTTTTTGAACACGGCCCGAAGACGACGTTCTGTCCCCCTGGGTCGCTCTATTCTCTTGTCATCTGTGACTGACACTAATCTTCATTCTGCTGCTGGTCAACCAACTTATCCCAACATAAGCATATCGTACGGATACCAATCGGCCCAACATCGTATTCATGGATACTGTCGTATCTGGCGTTATTAGGGTCAACATGCTTGGAACTAAATTAACGTTTTAAAATCTCATTTTTTTTACTCTTGATTTTCAATTTATGATGATAAATATTCTGAAATAAAAACTGTTTACAATAATTAACTGAACCTGATGTTTTTTTTTATTTTCTTTAATCATGGAAATATGCCAGCGTGGCGCTGATGAAAATGATATTGCGTTTAACTTTCGGTTGTTTGCTTGATTTAGTTTAGCGCCATATCAACCTTTCTTGGTTATTTAATTACCTTCCACTTCGATGTAGCTAGGAATCCAAAATAGTTTAATGTCTTTATGCTTGCATAATAGTATTTATTTTATATAATAGTTTGATAATCAGTGGGTTATTGATATTTTTCGTTTTCTCTGTGTAATAATATTGGGAGCTAGTTCTATTGTGTAAGCCTCCGTAGTGAAAATAGAATTTCCCTTTGCGAGGCGCTGTTTTTGTAACATTTTGAGTAAAAAAAAAAAAAAAAAAAAAAAAAAAAAAAGACAAAGATACACATACAAACAAAAATAACAATGAAAAATAAAAATTACAAAATATATAATTGAAAAACAATGATGTTTATGAACTAAGACGTGGGCACATGTAAAAACAATCATGTGCGCGTCCATACGGAATTAAAAAAAAAAGACGCAAATATGAAAACTGAAAAAAAAAAAAAAAACGAAATTCATTACAATTAGAAATCTATCTTTATCTATATTTCTCATGTTGTCTGTCTGTGTGTCTGTTGTGGGCGTTGTTACCTCGCCCATGCCGCATTTCTCACCCGATTTCGATGCGGTTTTCACCACAAGTTTGTAAATGGCTGCCGTAAGGACATGACGAAGCCCCGATTTTTGATTTCGGACTCAGGTTCCGAAAAAATCGATAATCGAAAAAATCTGCTTACAGAAGGAATTATTGCATTTCAACCAAATTTGACACCCTCTTAGAGTCTACCATTAGAAGTGTTGTCCAGAAGTTTAATGACCACGGACCCTTAAACAGCGCGGAAAATCGATAAAACCCCCAAACCGATACGACCAGATTGCGCCTGAACTGCATGTCGGTTTTTTAGCGAAAACCGACCGGATTTATGAGGAGGCCGTTGGGAATCACCATGTGAAGTTTCAACTCTGAGCGCCCCCCAAACAGAGTGCAAATGGACTATTGGTCAACCCTTTAAAATGTTTTTCCGGTTGGGCATTTCCTAAATGCAGATTAATTTAAGGTCATGCTATGCGCGGGAAGAAACAGGTCAGTGCGTGCAGTGGAGTGGAAGAAAATATTTGACCTCAAATTCTGGAATGGGTGCAGGGCCATTGAAATTCGGCTTTTTTATCCCTGCTACTAGGTCTGACTGAGCCACAAATGACATATTCGACTTTGTCAACATTTTTGCTTTAATCGTCGCATCTTACCAAAATAAGCACTTCCTTTATTCGCGTATTTGCTGGAAAAAAAAAAACCGCATACGTGCTGAGTGAAAATGGTTCCGCCTTCAGCACTCCATTTTCCAATTCTTTAAACCTTTTCCCCTAACCCAGGCCGCACCCCAGACCTGACGAGGAGTTTTTGCGCTAAAACAGCAGAGCTTCCTCCCAATCCATTTTAAAGCTAATGCCGGCAAACGGTTAGCGGCTTTTTGTTGTCGCACAAACCCAACGACCAAACGCTTCATTGCAGCTCCTTGCATTCTCATTGCCGGCATCACGTGCGTTAGAGCCAAGCTGCATATGCAGCTTGACCCCGTTTACGGCCAAGCCTTGCGCTTGCCAAATCATGCGCGCGTGCGTGAATGCGCGCTAGTATCTTCCATTTTGCGTGAACTCATTCATTGATCTAAGTCATGGCTACTGTCCAGGCTACTCCAATCAATGACAAGTCACGCTCCCTTTAAATACCTTCAGCGCGGCTGCATCCGCACTCACGTTTTGATTTGATCGCCATTAACGCATCTGTCCTTGGATTAATTGACAGCATCCTGCTACCGCAAGTTACCTATTTGCTTAAACGTTTGCATTACTCATCTCCGCGTTCTGTCTACTGCGCAGCCCAGTCCATCTTAGCATTCCATACCTATTTCTACCTTTTCGTAGTTCAGGTTTGCTATTAGTTAACTGCTGTCGCAAGTTACTTCTCTTCTGCCTTTCTACGCGGCCCAGTACACCTCAGTGTTTCACTACTTTTTAACCATCAACGGTTTGGTTGCGTAACCTCTTCCTACAGCGACGTTTTCGTGCTGCCAGAAAGCACGGCCCATAGCTAGGAGAAGCTTTTTCCATACCGCTCCACTGCATTTTTAGTTTTCGTATACAGCGAGGTTTGCACCGCTTCAGCATCAACTTCTATTCGCATTCTTACCTAGCATTTCTACAACCCTTCAAATGGCTTCTACACGACGAACATCCGCACGTCAACAACTGAAGACCCCTAATACCGTTAACGATACACATGCAGAACAGGCGACTGCAGAGGAGCACATAATAACTCCGGTTACAGATGATCATATAGCGTCTACTTCAACCTCTGCTTTGCACTCTTCTGCGATGGCCAACCCGGCAGCTCTGCAAAGGCTGCAAAAACACCCAGGCGAGGCAACCTTAGCAGGCGTTCTAAAAAAGCCTCACCGGCTAAAGGGAAGCGGGAGCAGGATTCCATTGAGTGCGCCTCCTTGGGGGAGAAGCGGCTGGCGTCTACTTCAACCTCTGCTTTGCACTCTTCTGAGTGCCGTGGCGATGACCGACCCGGCAGCTTTGCTAAGCGTGCCAAAATACCATGGCGAGGCAACCTTAGCAGGCGTTCTAAAAGAGCCTCTGCGGCAAAGAGAAAGCGGGAGGAGGAAACCGAGGTAGAGGCCTCTTTGAGGCTTTCCAGTCAATCTCAACGGAGGCAGTATGTTTTGTCACATGAAACGCTTGGTGAGCGTAACTACCGTTTGTACTGAAAATCACTTTTCAACGACTATGTGTAAACTAAGAGGAAACTACCTAAACGCTTGCAAGACAACAAAAAAGCGGCTTCATCACAAGCGCTTTTGCGGTCTTGACAGAGCCCGCATCGAAAAGCTACTCGCAATGCAGCCGACGCCACTGTAACGTCCATTCGACGGTCCTAGGAATCCATGGCTGAGAAAATCGCACGCGATGCAGCCGACGCCGCTGCAAGTTCTGCTGCAAGGGCGACGGAAAGTTCCGCGCAAATGTGCACAAGGCGGCAACGCGATGCAATTTCAACTTCCGCTGCTAGAGCTGTAGAAGGACCTACTGAAAGGCTTGCAAGGTTTCAGACTGTTAACCAGCGCCGCCATGCACAGCGAGGATTCTGTAGCCCACCAAAACAGTTATGGTTTAAGTTGGCGTTCAACTATGAGACAGTTTTGAGGCTTTCTGGTCGCAAAGACCTCAAATAGGATCCATGTAAGTTGTCTGTGGGCATTGCAATGCCAAAAAATGGCCTGGAGAATCTACAGGTTTGTATTGTTCAGACGGTAAGGTACATTTGCCACCTTTTCAAGAGCTACCTGCTCCGTTGAAAGCTTTGTTGGAGGGTTCCAGTCCAAACTCCAAACATTTCCTCGCAAAAATCAGACGGTACAATTCATTTTGCTCTTCCAGATGACCTCTTTTTGTGGTAATGCCTTCCGCGAAGTCGGTTGGAATCCAACCTTCAAGGTTCAAGGTCAGGTTTACCACCGGATTGGGTCTTTTGCCGGAAACTGCCACTGATTCGGCCTTTCTACAAATATACTTCATAGCTGACTACAATCAACAGGCAGATACCCGCATGGGCATTATTCCCGAGAACGATACAGGCCACGACAATCATCCTCGCAGGGATATCATAATGAGTCTCCAACAAATGCTCCACGAGACAAACAGCGATGTCCGCAGTTTTAAGTATGCTCTCGAAAATAACATTTCTTCTGATTTCATTATTGTAATTGATGCTGACAAACGGCCTCAGGGAGAGCACGAACGCCGTTAAAATGCTCCCGCAAGTACGAAGTTTCCGTCATTGTCAGCGGTGATCAGCACAACAGACGTGACATTGTTATCGAATCGCGCGGTAGTGGGCTCCGAAGAATCAGTGAAACGCACCGGTCCTACGATGCACTGCAATAACCTCTTACGGAGAAGATGGGTACCACTTTGGCATTCTGCAAAATGGGTCCACCTTAAAAACAGGGCAATCGGCCTATGACCGTCCAGACCTCATTGCGCGCGTTTACCATCTGAAGTTGGGAAAGCTAATGGATGTGATTACAAAAGGCCAGGTTTTGGGGGCTGTTTGCTGTCGCAATGTACACTATTGAGTGGCAGAAACGTGGCCTGCCTCACACATATATTCTAATTTGGATGTGCGATAAGATTGAGTCCACAGAAATCGATCATCTTATTTCTGCTGAAATTCCTGATCCGTCGGCTGACACTGAATTGTAGGAAATAGTTACAACCAATATGATTCATGGTCCCTGCCGGTCGCAGTACAATTACACCAGCTGTCACAACAGCGATGGCAAATGCACCCGGCAGTACCCACCAGATTTCGTGAGCGAAACCATTACAGGGAGCGATGGTTATCCATTGTACCGGCGAAGGAGTCCCGCTGAGGGAGGATTTACAGCCGTGGTAAAGGGCCAGCAAGTGGATAACAGATGGGTAGTGCCATACTGTCCCCTGCTAACAAAAGCATTCAATGCGCACATCAATGTCGAATATTGCCATTCATTTCGCTTCATCAATTATGTATGCAAGTACATCAACAAAGGTACTGATTGTGCAATGTTTGGCATTAGTCAGGAAGGTTCCGTAGACGAAATCCAGGACTTCCTAGCAGGGCGCGTCATTAGCAGCACAGAGGACCCTTGGCACATATTCAGCTTCCCCATACACAAACGATTCCCAGCAATCGTCCAGCTTGCTGTGCACTTAGAAAACGACGAACGACACAACACTTACAGAGTTCTTCAAACTGTCGACAGGACGAGTTTGCTAGGACGCTATTGTACCCAGACGTGCCTTCATACTACGTCTGGACAAAAAAGAACACCTGGACTCGGCGGAAGTGCGGAGCCAACGTCGCGGGCTATCCAGACGTAAAAAAAAAGCGCCACACTCGAAAGGGTATTCACGGTTCTCCCATCGCGACAGGAATGTTTTGACTTGCGATTCCTTTTGCACGAAGTTAGTGGTCCAACGAGGTACAATAACCTACGGACGGTTACTGGAGTTTTTTGGTTTTCTTTCTCAACACCTCCGTCCACTCGCTGCTGGTCGCTTTCTTTCCTTCTGCAGACACCACTGATGTAGGTACCGGTGCTTGTTTCTCTGGTGGTGCCGGCTTTTTGGTCGGACAACTTTGCCAGGTGTCCAGCTTCACCACACACCCAGCAGCAGGGCCGGCGCCCCTCCACCACCACAAAAATCCTTCTCTTGTTGCACAGGATGGTATTGGGGATATCCTTAAATCCTTGGCGGTTCAAGGTCACCATGACCTCCATGTCGCCGGTGGCGATCCCCGCCTTGTTCCTTATGGCTGATACTTCCTCTACTGGACCATACTCCGAAAAGAAGGCTCCGACCTGGTCTTCGGTGATATACATAGGTACATCATGCAGGATAATCCGCGTTTTCCTCGTACCCATGTACTCTGTCTGCATCTTAAATGTCTTTGTGGTGAGGGTGCAACCGGTCAGCGCCTTTGCCGCTTCCTCAGATGCCAACAGCACGTCCCAGCACGCGTTCGATTTTCGTGCCAAGAACTTAGCCCCGATCTTTAGTGCCTTTAGGGCTTCCTCCATCGGCTCCCTATTGACCGGTATGAACTTCCTGGTCTTGAGGAAGATTGTCCATTTCTCTACCGTCTCCATAACCGACGGCACTGGTAACAGTTCATCCTTCGTGATGAATTCTTTGAGCTCCTGCCGCCGACTCTCATAATATTCCGGGCCTTTTGCGGCCTTTCCGGCACCCAAGCAGATGGTGCTGAAGAAGTAGTGGCCAAAGGCTCTTTTCCTTGGGTCACCTTCGCCATAGCGGGAGGGTATTCCCACACCAACAAACAGTTTCAAAAAATCAAGAGAAAGGAAACCAACAATATCCAACTTACTTTCCCAATCTTGTCGTTGAAAAGCGTCCACTGACGTACAACACAACACACACTAATATACACCAACCAGAACAGAAGGTATACTGTGTATAACTAGAAGATTTATTGTAAAAATTTTACAATTGTGGCACGTGGCCGATAAAGGGGAGGGGGAAAGGCTGGTCAACACTAACTATCCTATACCTAGCTAATCAGATTCACGACCCATTCATACATTACAATTACCCCATTCACCACAAGAACTCGTCCATCACCAAACACTCCTCCAACCACCATAATACCACATCCTCTCCAGGGGAACCTACCAAAACGCGCCCCAATCCATAAAGATTTGATGATAATACATATAATACATAAAATTCTAATAATGATTGAATGAGAGGGGGGGATGACCCCAATAACAAATTAATATTAACATAAAATGCAAACTAAACATAAGATATGTTAGTAGGAACCGTCCAACCCTCAAAACAGAGGCCGCTGTATTTTGCCCAGGGGTCAAAATCAAGAGACGCTCTCGCTAAGGGAATGGGAAACAGGATAAAATATTATGCGGGAATGGGAAAATATAAATCTGACCCAGTCGAGATAAAAAGGGGCTAAAACAAACTGGGAAGGTTGGGAATCTCGACTTGGACCATAACCAAAGAGTAGCCGGATACAGGCCAGAACAACACTTACTCACATTAACTAGGTACACTGAAGGGATGTCTAAGTTTTACCAAGGGGTCTTGCTTCCAAAAGCCACCCCGATGTGCTATAGGTTGACCTAGAAAGAAAATCAAGGCTAGCCCCGTTCACGAACCAAGCTCGCGATTTTTTACCCACCTTTCGCTGAAGACTGTCGAATGCAATCGTTTTCTATCAGATCTAATCTTCATCTTGAGCTGATGCTCAAAGAATTGGATCAGATGCTGATAAGAAAGACGATTGCCCCGCAAGACTTCCTCCAGGCGCGTCGTCTAAATCACCATTCGAGCCGTGGCCATCAGCGTCAGAAACACCATTCGTTTCACCCCGGAATACGGGGACGACATATTGTCACACGCTTATGCGCGATCAATGGACACAAGCTGTTCGGGAGCGAGACGAGCCGTCAGCTCGCCGACATGGTCCCATAAGGATAGTAAGACCAGGGGCAATGGTAGAAGGCGTGCGAAGCCGTTTCTTCTAAACCAAGGCCGCGCCGTTCACAGTCTGGCAAATCCGCCAAACCCCATGAAAGCCTTGTCATTGAGAGGCAGCCGATTCCGAGCCAATCGCCAGGTAAACGAAAACTCAGGGTTACTGAAGTAATCCGCCGCTGGCGCCCAAAACCAGTAGGAGCGATACTCCTCCTCCGACAAGCCGAGCGTATCACGTAGCGAATCCTTCGCGCGACCCTCCACTAAACCACGATAGAAGACCTTCCTAGGCCGTGAAAGGTCACTGGACCGGGGAATGGCCTTCAAGGCCAACCGACACTCGCGGAGGAAATCCGACTCACCCCGGGGTTTACAACGGCGCTCAACCCTCGAGATGGGAGACTGATGGTAAGGCTAGGGAAGGCGTCCCTAACAATCCCCTCCAGAATCGGATCTCCTCTAGTCAATGCGCGGCGTAGGAAAGCCAACCTAGAGGCACGGATGTGACTCAGAAGATGCGGCATTCCCAGCCCCCCCATGACACGGACGTTTGGTGCAGATTCGTCTGTCGACCCTGTTCACTCGTCCCCTCCATAAAATGGAGGATAGCGATCGCTCGAGCGCCTTCCTACGGTCCTTACAGAGAGGAAGTACGGACAATCGATAAAGAATCAGGGGGAAAATGTATGTAACACACACCTCCGCCCTGCCCTTCACGGACAACCGCCGTCGATTCCAAGTCTGACCGGCAGAATCGACCTTTGCACGTACTTCAGACCAATTCTTTTCCAGCTGGAGGTCAGGCCCAAACCACACTCCAAGAATGCGGACAGGACCGTCCGTCCAACCGAAGCGGCCCGGAAGAGCGACCCCCTTCCAGGCACCTAACCGCAAGCCGGACGACTTGTCGCGGTTTATCTTGGTCCCTGTCACATTCTCGTACCGATCAAGCGCCTTCTGTACCGCCTCAATGTCGCTGCGCCTGGCTCGAGACCCTCCAGGCACAGCAATTACACGTAGGGCCGGACTGCCGGTCTCGTCCTTCAGCCGACGAAGGAGAGGCTCCAACGCCAAAGCATAAAGGAGAGGCGACAGCGGACAACCCTGACGAACCGACCTAGACAGCACGAACGCGTCCGACAACCTTCCGTTCACCTGTACCACAGCACTGGGGGAGCGATACAGGAGGCTAATCCAGCGGCAGAAGTTGGGTGCGAATCCAGCGGCCTGCAGGACAGTAGCAAGGTAGCGATGGTCAACCCTATCAAATGCCATGGACTGATCCATATTGATCAGCGCGGCTTCTTCGTCGTCTTTTACACCCTCTATGATCGTGCGGATCAAATGCAGGTTGCTCTGAATTGTTCGGCCCCTCACAGAACAAGTCTGCTCAGGTCCCAACAGAGACTCGGCAACTGACTGCAAACGCTCCTGCAGGATCTTGGCTATAATCTTTAACTCTGTGTTTAGCAGAGTTATGGGTCTGTAATCAGCTCTATCTAGAGCGAGCCGTTTGCTGAAATCAGTGGTGAAAGACCTAATCCTAGACTTAAGGCGCTCCCACCACTTATTCCCGATAACCGCCCCCACTAGCTCCCGCTGCACTAATCTAGTTAGCTGTTCCTGGAAGTCCCGCCTGTCCAGTAAAGACAGATTGAACTTCCAGTACCCAGCCATTCTAGGCCTATGGTCTAACGCTACCCGGGCACAAACGAGTTTGTGGTCCGCGTAGCCTACTCAGTGGAACGTAGGGCAATCTAGTAGATCTATGTCGGCTCTTCTAACTAACATTCTGTCAAGGTAGCTAACCACCTTGTCAGAAGGCCAACTAAGAGCCCACGTCCACATGTTCCCCCCGGGATGATCGACCCGGTATCTATCGACGAGCCCATAATCGTCGATCAGATCAACCAGGCTACGATCGTCCCTTCTCCCACTAGCACCCTGTCTAATTTGGGGTCCAGGATGGCATTCCAGTCCTCCATTAAAACTAGGCGCGTTGAATCAACCAGGAACGGCCCCAACTGCCGAAAAAACGAGACCCGCTCCTCCTGGTCATTGGGCGCATAAACCGCAACGACTCGGAACGAACCACTTTTCACGGCAATATCGGCCACGATCAACCGGCCCTCGGCATCGGTATGCACAAGGTCCACCTTCGCATCAAGAGTCCGTCTGACAAGCAAAGAAACTCCTCTGGCAAACCGGTCCCCATATGCTGAATAGACAACAAAGTCATCCTCCAGCACACACGCATCGGCACTGTAAACAAAGTGGGTCTCTTCGATCGCGGCGACATCCACATCCAGGGACAGAAGGTCTCGGAGCAGGCGGGCTGCCTTACCCCGATCCCTTAAGCCCCTCACATTCAGAGTCGCTATCTTGGTTTCCATTTTCTAAGTCTGCAAAGAGAAAAAGAGTAAGAGCAAAAACCTACTCACATACGGGGCGGAAATCTGCGGGTGAAAGGACCCCGACGGATTGTCCCAGGCTCCCCACTCCGACGTCATCCGTCCTTCTGTGACAATCCCGCCGACGTCCGTGGGGTAGTTTAATTTTAGGGCCCTATATAGTGATGGATGGAGAAGTACTGGGGCCCTCCCTGCACAAAACATTTGCATCTTCTTTAAGTCCTTTGAGGCCATCTCGACCATCCTTATCTCCGGGAAGGCCTCCCTGGCCTCAAAGAGATGAGTCCAGACTTTCAAATTTTTTCCGGTGTCCCGGATAAGTCCAACCACACCAGGGAAGTTTCTAGGGTCCTCAATTGATTTGCCGTCTACGGATGACAGCTTAATTAGAGGCCCTAACAACGCTCTCTTGCGGGAGGAGAGGTGTCTCTCAATCTCCTCCTTCTCTACTCTGCA